CTGCTTGTTTTTCCTGGGCCTAAACAGCCCCCCGCTCCTCCTACACTCAGCACCCCTCTCCTCCGTCTCCCTCTCTTTCTCATCTCCTCTCTTTCATCCTCCAGCTCGCAGCATCCCTGGCCCCTCCCTGGCGTTTTCGCTGACTCGGGCGAGGGTTCTCTCCCCGTAATCTGGAGTGACAGCTCGGTGCCGTTCCTTGCCTGTCTTGCTTTATTTCTCGTCTTCTTGGAGATTGAATTAATTGAATCCACATTTCCCGCAGCCGGGCCGCGAGCACGCGGGGAGGTAAATGGGGACGCGCCGCGCACTTTAGTGAAAGGTGATCCACTAGGCTGGATTGACAGGTCAGCTTTCAGGCTGCATTTCCCCTGGCAACCCATTAAGTGCTACCTTTGACCTGAGCAGCCATTAGTGGCCTTCCCATGAAGGAGGCAGATGGCTGCAATCAGGCATTTTGGAATCAAACGCGAAATAGCTGAGCTTGATAACTCCCTCTCCCCCCCTCCCACCATCGCTGCCCTTTCAGGAATGTAATGAGCACCCAGAGACTCAGGACAAACAGCCAGCCCGAAAACAAACCCCGCCGCTAAGGAGTCAGGGAAAGCCAAGGTGGGGATTACAGCAGGCGGAGTTACCAGGACTCTACATTCACTTAATGACTTTGGAAGACAAACAGATCAGAGAGATAGAGAGATTGGGGAAAGGATCAGCTAAATGGGAACCATAGTCCTGCAGCTCTGCACACCGAGTGACACAGCTCGCTGCCTTGCAGCGCTCACCCAATGGCCGCACGGGGCCTCGCCCCTTTCCAGCCAGCTGCCCTGTAGAGATCTTTCCCACAGGGGTCCCCATCGCCCACCCAGGCGCCCTGCTGGGACCCCATTACCCCCACTGGAATGCTGACCCTCGGCCACCTGCTCGTGTTGAGCGGCCAGGCAGTCCCGTTCCTGAGCCGCAGCTGAAGAGGGGTGTGCGAAATGGTGATTTTAAGCTGACTCGGGGCTCCCCCGTCCCCCCCAATCCTGCACCTGGGCCATGGCACAACTCAGAGCAGCCTGAAAGCTGCTTTGATATTCAGCAGCTGCCAATGGCCACACTCTGGCAGCTGGGGATTGCTCGGGACCATGGGACCGTCTCCAGGCCACATCCCTGCCCCAGCTGCCAGGAAGGGTTTGGTGTGGAAGCAGTTACACTGTCTCTACCCTCCCCCCCACCCCCGGGATTCCCGTAGGCAGGGGAGAATCATCTGTGGTCAGCATAAGCCGGCTCTAGGGCTGTTTTATGCTACCGGAGCAGCACAAAGCAACCCCAATGGACCAGGTGATTTCAGTGGGACTCCTGGGCAAGGTGCTACCCTAGGAGCTTGATCTGTAGCCCGTGGAAGCACACGGAAGGCCTGCTATTGACTTTGGTAAGGGTAGCAGCCTCCTGTGTGATCCAGGCTTGTCAGGCAGCTTTAGACCCGGCAGGGAAAGGTTGGCCGGGGAGCTGTCCCTCCGCCCCGTCTGGCCAGTGCTTCTAACACCCAGCTAGAGTCAATGGACTCAAGGGGTCTCCTGCCAGGAGCAGAGAGGAGCTGCTGGATGACAGAGATCGTGTTGGGGAGTTCAGGGGGATATTCTCCTCCCCAGGATGTCACAATACATGGGGACGGGCCAGGCTGTCTCAGGCTACGGGGCCTGATCCCGCTGCAAGCGGGAAGCGCTTGAAACTCCCTTTGTAAGTGTTTATTTGCAATCTTGACAATGCCTATGGTGGGCCCTCTCATGCCCGCAACAAGGAACGATTGAGCAGGATTCATCTGCAGTGGCTCCTCCCAGGGGGACTGTCTACCCACCACTCTCAGTGCTTCCCCTGCTGGACCCTGGTCCCAGCCAGCATGGGGCCAAAGTGGGGAGAGGAGGAGGGGACAGTTTGACTGGCTCAGGCCCTTGCTGGGGGGCGGGGGGGGGGGCAGAACGTGTGCTGAAAGGAGGGACAGGCTGGGGGGATCCACAGGGGCTTCCCTGGGGCTCCTGTTGCCCCTAGGGCTGCCACCCACTTGTTGGTAACTGGACCCCAAGGCTCCGCCCCCTGCTCTGCCTCTTCCCCCAAGGCCCCGCCCCCACCACTCACT